AACCTTTCTACGACTCTTGGTACGAGATTTGACGAGTTTGGAAGTATCGACGATATCAACAGTGCAATTGAACACGCGAAAATGGCCGTCGACCTGACACCAGACAGCCATCCGAACAAGCCTACTATGTTTTCTAACCTCGGAGGCACACTTTGGAAGAGGTTCAGACGAGTTGGAAACTTTTTCGACCTCGATAATGCGATCGAAGCTCATGAACGAGCTCTTGCACTTACACCAGAAAGTCATCCACACAGGTCTGGTTGGTCATTTAACCTTGGAGTATCATTTGAGCATCGATTCAATCGGCTCCGCAATCCCCGTGATGCTGAAGTGGCCATTTCTCATCACTCTTCCGCCGCAATGTCACCAAATGGACCTCCAGATCGACGCTTCGAAGCCGTAGACTCATGGGTCAGGCTTGCATCACGCATCAACCACGACTCGCTGCTGACTGCGTACGAATGTGCGCTTGACCTTATGCCCCTTGTCGCTTGGCTAGGTCTCCCTATAGGGGATCGGCACCAGCACCTCGTCAAGATAGGTGGAATCGCACGAGACGCTGCGGCGGCTGCAATCTCAGCTGATCAGTATGATAAGGCGTTGGAATGGCTGGAGCAGGGCCGCTCGATCGTTTGGACACAAATTCTTCAGCTTCGAACTCCGGTCGATCGGTTACGCGAAGTGGATCGTGAACTTGCTGACCGACTATTGCAAGTTTCTCAGCAACTGGATCGTCAATCTCACCAATCCGGCTTCTCTCATAGAGAGCACTTGGATATGGAGGAGGAAGGGCGAAAATATCGAGCGTTGACGGCAGAATGGGAATCCATCATCAATCAAGTTCGGTCACTTCCCAGTTTCGACAACTTTTTGCGTCCACCGCGTTTGTCCCAACTCACGAATGCAGCTCGGAATGGTCCAGTTGTCATTTTCAATATAGCCAAGACACGGTGCGATGCCCTCGCTCTCTTACCCGAACTTGAGGATGTCATCCATATTCCTCTCCCCAATATCACTTCCACGAGAGTCACCGAGCTTCGAGATGAGCTAAAGGATCACTTGTACTCGAGTGGGATTCGAATGCGCGACACACGGGCAGCCATGAAATTTACAGATGAAAAGGACGACGAGAACTGTAAGCAAGTTCTTGCAGAGCTTTGGAATAATTTGGTCAAGCCTGTTCTGGATGCGTTGGCATTTTCGGTAATGATTATTCATTTACATACACTTAATTCTATTGATAACGCTCGCAGCCTCATCCACATGTGCTTCCACGGATATGGTGGTGCGCCACTGGACCGCTTGCCTTCCTACCAATCCATGCAGCGGGCATTTATGGCCCGGAATCGGGAGATTCGCAGCTCGGCAACTACGTTATATCATCATATACACCTACACTATCTACTCTACTCGAGCAATCTAAACCGCCCATTCTCTCGTCCTTCAGTCTCTTATCAGTCATCCAATCGTCAGCACCTGGCGCGTCGTCTCTTCCCAATACCAAAGATGAATTGGAATTCATTCGACAACGCCTCGCCGGTCGCAATCATATCGTGCTCGAAGGCGAGGCAGGTACAAAGAGACAGGTGATGAAAGGAATGGAAGAGTGCAACTGGCTTCATTTGGCATGTCATGGAATTCAGGAACCAGATGAACCAACGAAGAGTGCGCTTCTTCTCCAAGACGGGCACCTTACGCTCGAGGAAATAATCAAACTCGACCTTCCTCGAGCCGAGCTTGCGTTCTTATCCGCTTGTCAAACAACGGCAGGAGACGAGAATCTGTCGGAAGAAGCGGTTCATATCGCAGGTGGGATGCTTTTGGCTGGATATCGGAGTGTGGTGGCGACAATGTGGTCTATTCGAGACGAGCTCGCGCCTGTGGTGACGGACGAGTTCTATAGGCATGTCATGGAAGAAGGAAAGCGACCCGACTCTAGGAGGGCGGCGGAGGCATTACATCTAGCGGTCCAAAAGCTTCGTCAACGGCCAGGCGTCCAGCTTACGGACTGGATTCCTTTCGTTCATCTTGGAGTTTAATCTCAAACTCGTATCCGAACCAATTAGAATAGATCGATGGATATCTGCATTTATGAAATCTATTTTAGCATATCTACACCGAACTGCCCTCTGAATAAGTGATGATAGAAAGACAAGTCCAGATTCCCAAAGCGTGCAGCGTAAATGACCGTTGTGACAAAGCTCTTACAAATGGAAAAAGCAAGCGGCAGGAGAATGCGCGTTCATGCCTTCATGAGCATAACTGATGAACCTTGTATTCTCCAGATAGGGCAGACTACTTAATGCGAGTCGTGAAGCTCCTTTTCTATCATCTTCAGTTCCA